TCAGTGCCTTAGCCTTTGCAAATCAGTTCTGTAGCCTGCAGAGCCTCTCACACATCTTTAATCTTTCACCTAAACAACAGAAGGTATTTCCTTTCTTGTTGCTCTCCTGCTGTTATTCTGTATTCTGCATATATCGTTGCACCTGCAAGCCAAATATTATTACAGCAGGGTCTCTGGGAACCTGGAGATATTCCTACTCACATAAGATTCACACCTTCTTTACTCCCTTTTCCCTCTCCTTGGTTTACAATTCGGGGGCTGTAGTGGGTTGACCCTGGCTGGATGCCAGGTGCCCACCAAATCTGCTCTATCACTCCTCCTCAGCTGAACAGGGGAGAGAAAAAATAACAACAGGCTCATGGGTCAAGATAAGGACAGGGAGAGATCGCTCACCAATTACTGTCACGGGCAAAACAGACTCAACTTGGGGAATAACTTACTTTGTTACCAATCAAATGGTAATGAGAAATAAAACCAAATCTTAAAAAACCCCTACCCTCACCCCTCCCTTCTTCCCAGGCTTAATTTTACTCCCGATTTCCCTATCTCCTCCCCCTGAGAGGCACAGGGGGATAGGGAGCAGGAGTTGTGGTCAGTTCATCACACGCTGTCTCTGCCACTCCTTCCTCCTCAGGGGGAGGACTCCTCACACTCTTCCCCTGCTCCAGCATGGGGTCCCTCCCACAGGAGACAGTCCTCCACGAAGTTCTCCAGCATTAGTCCTCCCCATCAGCCGCAGTTCTTCACAAACTGCTTCAGCGTGGGTCCCTTCCCCAGGTCCCTTTCTTCAGGAACAGACTGCTCCAGCGTGGGTCCCCCACAGGGTCACAAGTCCTGCCAGCAAACCTGCTCCAGCGTGGGCTCCTCTCCCCATGGGTCCACAGGTCCTATTAGGAGCCTGCTCCAGCGCAGGCTTCCCACAGGGTCACAGCCTCCTTTAGGCACCCACCTGCTCTGGTGTGGGGTCCTCCACAGGGTGTAGGCAGGTATCTGCTCCACTGTGGACCTCCATGGGCTGCAGGGGGACAGCCTGCCTCACCATGGTCTTCACCACAGGCTGCAGGGGAATCTCTGCTCTGGTGCCTGGAGCACCTCCTCCTCCTCCTTCACTGACCCTGGTGTCTGCGGAGTCATTTCTCTCACATATCCCCACTCTTCTCTCCAGCTGCAATTGCTCCTGCACAGTAGCTTTTTCCCTTCTTAAATACGTTATCCCAGAGGCGCTACCACTGTCGCCCAATGCCCAGCAGCGGGTCAGTCTTGGAGCCATCTGGCATTGGCCGTATCGGACATAGGGGAAGCTTCTAGCATCTTCTCACAGAAGCCACCCCTGTAGCCCCCTGGCTACCAAAACCTTGCCACACAAGCCCAGTACAGGGGCCCAACAACAGCCTGAACAAAGTTTAGCAACAAACCACTACGCAGCACCTGCCCCGGATCAAAGCCTGCTCTAATCAGCACTAACAGCACCACAAGCTGAGGGAAAACCCAACAGTGAGATTCAGTAGGTCCAGGTAAAAACCATATTCCTACTAGGGGAAAGATATTATGGGGGGATTCAACTGCTGCATTAGATCCAAGTGAGTCTAATTTGAAGTAAGTTCAGAATTACAGTGTTTTTCTGTTAATATACTGAAGATTACTTGCTTCTGCCATTTTTCCCTGCATTAATGTTATTTCATCACTATGATCACCAACCAGAGCAACTAAAATGGGTTTAGTTTAAACTCAAATTGAATTAGTAGAGAAAAACTGATTTGCAAACTACTTTCCTCTCGTAACTTTAAATAACCATTAAAAATTTTGTTGTTGTGATAAATTTTAGCATCTGAAGAATTGCAGAAACCACAGTCTCAAAGGCTAAACAGTTCACAATGACCTGAACATAGTGGTAAAAGTCTTACAGCAAAATACTTCACTGACAGAAACCATTTATACCCTCTTTCAGCTTCAATTTCATCAAAACCAAAACTTGTGAAAACCAGGAAAGGCACTGTGTAATGGCACAGCCCATATGCTCCTCACCCAAGAAACCACAGGAATTGTCTGCAAACACAAGAACTGTGGTCACTCTACAAACGGCCATGCCGTGAAAGCAAAAATAACTCTAACTGTGACGCAAGGCACTCTTGGGAATCTTGCTCTTAACCTACACAGGAGGTAACACCTGGGACTGACATTCACCTCTGTCCCCACTCCTGCCTGCTTGGCCCTGTGCCTCCCCAGCCTTCCTCTTTCTTTCTCTTCCTCTGTGGGATTTTGCAGCTTACAGTGCTACAGACTTTAATAATTCTGTGCTGGTAACCCACGATTACAGTAATTTTGCAGTAAGTCTCCACTGCTCCTGAGCAAAGAGCATCTACCCATACAGCTCAAGAAAGCCAGAGTCCTATTGCTAGGATTAGCATTTTCAGAAAAAAAACTTACTAGTACACTAGGAAATATCACAGAGACGAAAGTAAAATATTGGAGTTGAAAAGAGCAAACACCACTGTGTGTCAAGTCTATAATCTATATTTATAAACTATGGTTAAATGCCACTGTCTCCTGCTCAACCTCTGACTGATCCAACCACCACCAGCCCCAATCCAATAACTTCTATCAGGGATTTTATGAAGTATGATTTCAAATCTAGTATGTTGACTAGAATCATTAATATGTATTTAACGCTGCACTGTATAATGAAAAAAAATATATGTGTTTCTATAACATTAAGTGTTAATGCCCTTCATTTTCTTTGCAGGAGAAGGCCTGGGGGACAGATGCTTCTTCACTCATGAGAATACAGAAAATAAAGCAAATACTTTCTCATTTTAAATTTGATTTGACCATTGCTGACCTTAAAGGCAGAAACGTCTTACCTACTGTGTACAACTGTATTGTTTTTTAAAATGACTGATAAATTTTAATTAAAAAATCACGTTTCATCTACTACGTTGTACAATCCTTCCACGAAAATGTTAATTAAATATGAATTTTCAGATTTGCTTAGAGACTCTATTTAATCATTGTAACCAGTTTCTTGATAAAGGCATTCAAAATAGTTCTGCAGGTGAAAGATTCAACAGAGCAAAACCAAAATACTTAATTAAAAGGAAAAAAAATGTGAAAAGGAGTAAAAATAAAAGCAAATTTCATCCCTCAACTAACCCCAGAAATAATAAGAAAAAAGAAACGGAAAACAACCAACTATATATCTATATACTGACTGTTCACTCAGTCTCAACACAAACTGGGTGTCAGAGACATTCTTTTTAACAGAACAAAAATAATAAATACCAAAGTTCAGAAAGTATCAGTCTTTTACTTAAAAAAAAAGTCAGAAATCCCAGTTTTTCCACTGAAATCTATAATTATACTATGCCAAAACATCCACAGGATTACTTATAGACATACATATCAACAATTACAATATGTAAAGCAGAAGTGAATAAATAGTATGTGTAGAGATGAAACTCAATTAAAAACCCAGTAAGTTATCAATAAAATATGAAAGGGCAGAACACCAAGACAGCTCTCATTTTTGTAAAATATATTAGACAACTGAAAGAAAGTGAATGTCTGTGTCAATTCTACAGGCCTGGGACAACACACTAGTGAAAAAGCTGAACACAGATATGAGGTCTAATGTGGGAGGGTGCAAGCAAGGAGGTTCAGAGATTGACTTGAACCAAAAATCAACAGTTTTGGACTATATAAGTAAAATCACCTAAGCTTGAAATTCAATCCATAATTTGTGTCTAGCTTTCCCATGTAAATTCTGGGTACATATTACTTAAATATTCTTAATGTAAATGTATACCAAGTTTTATGTTGTATCACTTCAATTTAAAAAAAAAAACAACCAACTACATCCAAAATTATAAATAATTATTTGGACTACAGGCAAAATCTTGGTCTCACACAGGTCAACAGCAGAACTCCCTAGTATGGATAAATTCCCAGTATGGTACAGTTAAGATGTATGTTTAAGATCCCATACTTGATTGTATTAAATGTAAAAGCCTAAATGTCAACTCAAACATCTAATTATAAATGGAAATTCATTCCCTGACAGCATAGTCTTCCAGTTCCACACACCAACACAAAAATAAAGATCACAGAAATATAAGGCAATGAAAAAACAAACCAGAAGGCCACACAGTTTGAAGACCAAATTTTTCTTTACTTCAGAAATGTATCTTTACATTCAAATTCCAAGTGGCTGCACTATAATAGGAATAGACAATCATAAATTTAATTTAACTTGATCATTTGCATGCCCCTGGTAAACTGAGCTCAGGCACAACATCTGGTTTTGATGAAGACCTCTGTTACCTAGTTTTCCGTCTGGGTCCATTATAATGCAAAGCAGTCAAGAAAGAACCCTCAGGGTCCTGTAATCCATTCTCCACTAAACTGCGAATTGTCTCATGATCGAACATTATCCAATAATGAATGAATTTGCTTGTGATCCATCACAAGAACTCTTCAGAGCACCCGTGGAATGTTTTAATTTTTCTTTTAAGATTAACACACAAAAGTAATGCAGTTACATAACTGAATTTGCTTCTTATAATTTTGCAGAACTTAAGGTCAGCTTGGTAGTTAACCAAGTAAAAAGCTGAACCAAAATTGACAGAAATTAAGAGTATTGCAAATATCTTTTTTTAAGTAGGACTTATGCCTTGGCATCCCTCATCATTCTGCTTGGCTGAAGCGGCTGTTACTCATTCTTGACCTTAAAACAGGACACGTGAAAAATACACTTCACCCTTCTTTTTGATGATGTTACAATCCAGCAATTAAGTCTATCATCTTTTGCATTCTATTTGGACACGGCCAAACAATGATGTGAAAAAACAGTAAATATCACAGCCGTAATTTAACCTCTGGTAAATTAACTCCTAAAAAAGTTCCTAGAACTAAAATGTGGCATCCACATAATTAGGTAGCAGGACTCTTCTGCACTGGTTGCACCAAAAGATTGCCTTTTTTTGGTAAGCTTCAGCGATAAAACTTCAAGCAGGAGGTACTGGCAGTCGTCTTACTATTTCCATAGCTATCTTTAGGTAGGCTTTAGCCTGTAAAAACAGAAACATATATTTAGCACCTTTCATTTTCTATAAAAAGGAATATTTTACATCTCATTAGACATCTGTTCTTTCACACAACTTCAAAGAAAAACAAAAGTGTTACAATAAATGGGTTCAGTTTAGCCAGTTTTGTGTTCAGGAAAAAGGATGCGTTAATACATAAATTAAGTACGAGCATTATTTAAAACATTAGGGGGTGGTGTAAAATTTAACTTTGGTATTATTCTGAGAATAGAATTTGACTGAACAATTTGTCTTAAACAGCAAACAGAATCAATATTCTTCTGGAGGAGAAGTATTGAGAAAGAAGGAGACTCTTTAGTCCCACAGGTACTATTAATTATAAGCTTCCCTCACCCCGAAGATCGAGATGCATCATGCACAGGATTGAGATTTTTAAAAAATAAATAAATCAGAGAAAAAGACACTAAAAAAAATATTTTTTTTTAGGTAATTCATTACAGACTAGACTACACTACAGGATTTCCAATACACACATTAAAAATTAAAGTATTCTCAAAAAAAAAAAGAGAAATCTTTCCAAACAACTGAAGTGGGTATAGGCAAGAACTAGTTCCGCAACACTAGAATCCACACAGCAAAATCTCCCTCTCACAGGAGCCTGTGGCATGGGGTCAGATATCGTCAGCTGGAGGGCAGAAGAGCACAAAACCATAAGGCTACCAGGAGCAACCCAAATAAGCATACTTCTTTTAACATCTCTTAAAACATGACACAGCTAGGACTACGATCAGTCTAACATCAAGTATTCATAAATTTAATGTCAAGAGATGTACATAAAAACACTGCCTGAAGTCCAACACAGAACAAACCCACAAAATGAAACCAAATAATTCCTATATCAAGCTCCACAACTTGCAGTCGAAATGGAACATGCCTTCTAGAAAGGTGTCCAGTCTCGATACAAAGACTTTCAATTAAAAGAGTATCTTTGTGTGTGTGATATATATATCTTGTACATTGTTCCAGAAGTTGATTACTTCCATTGTTAAAAATGTACACCTTACCTATAATTTGAATTTGTCATTAATTTCCAGCTGGTGCATCATGTTCTGTATTTGTCTAGCACAACAGCAACTCCCCTGCTATTCAGCTTGCTTCTACTTTGTTAGATTGCAACCAAGCTGCTGCTTCATCTCAAATAAGCCTACATAGGGAGCCCACACTGATAACCTTCCCTGTCTTACTAGAAGAAATTGCCACAATATTCCGCAACGCACTGATCTCTCTGCCCCCTGCAGCATGCTTCGGTGGCTCTAACCTCAAGTTAGACCTTGTATCCCTGAGATCCTTTAAAACAGCAAACAAGCTGACAAATACTTGAGGCCAGAGCCAGAGGGGCAGGAAGAGAAGGCCTATGTCTCAGGGCCATCAGCACCAACAGCCACCAGTCTGAACCAGGTGGTAGCCTTTTGCAGGGCTTTTGCCTGAGCACCCCTAACCTCTCTTCTAGGTTTGCTCCTGGCTTGTAGGGTGTTTTTTTTTGGCACTCCCAGCCTCAGCGCCTCAGTCTCGGTGCTCACATCACCATAACACTACAGTCGTGTCATTTTCTGAGATTGTAAGGAATGCAGACACCATGCTAGAATTGTTTTCTCCCATACGCGTGCTTTTTGGCAAGAACTATAGAACTTAAGTCACAAGCACGAAATTCAAACTTCTCCTACGGGTGTAATTGCAGTGCAGTTGGGTAGCACAGCTAAGCTCATGTGCAACACCCACCACACTTGGCTATTAATTCCCTGGGTGGTCTAGCTGCTCCCCAGTTAGCCACCTGCCTAGGTAAGATAATGAACCAACCTGAAATGAGGTGATTGAGTGAAGTCAAGCTTCCTTTGCAGTTAAGTATTTGACTAATCAGTGTAGGAGTGCTCCAGATGGGAATTCTGGACTATCTTGAAGAGTCCTGCAGGCAGCTCCCACATTGCACAGACAAATTCATCTGTTTTAATGACTGAATTAACAACCTGCATGGAAAATCTGGCCCTTCTAAAGACTGCCCAGGCTGTTCCCGCTCCAGAGTTGACCAAATAGTTCACAGAATTATAAATACACCATAGAAATTTTCCTGCAGGTGCAGAAATAGTAACATATGACAGTGGTTTTGTACATAGTCAAGATAGATGTTCTGTACATAAATCAAGATAACCAGCAGCAACAGATCATGCATATGCTGTAGTAGTCATACAGGACCACAGACTAGCTGCACTAGAGCTAAACAGCAGTTCAGGGAGCCTCATTTGATCCAGCCAAAGACACCACTGGCAAAGGTCCTTGGAACACATACTTCCATAACCAGACAGCAACCAGATATCCTGCTTGGGAGACCTGATTGCTTGTGTAAATGCCACCCTATGTCCACATTCCAATACACTACATTTCCCCCCCCCAACACTGTTAATGAGTATCTGGGCAGCAATTTCACAATGTACGCAGACTCTCATTTGCCAGTTAGCTTGTCCTGGTTTCAGTTGGTCTTACCTGCTAAGCATCCTTTTTTTGATTTCCTAGATCAGTACTTTGTATGTTGAACAGACTAGTATCTCATACATGTCCTTACAGAACTCCACCAGTGACCAATCAACTATTTCAAGGCCTTAGTTTCCTATCTTTGAACAAATCATTCAGCTATGAGTGAGGACCTGTCTGTCAGTAGTAACCCACATCAACGTATGTGAAAGGTCTAAACGGAATCTCAGTGACTGTCAATACACCTTTCATTACATAAAACAACCCTTCTTTGGTTTCTCCTACTCATGATCTTTTCAACATGGCATTTGTAGACAGAAGGCACAGCTCAGTTCAGCTGTTTACGCCATCATTGCTAAGCAAAAGAAGACGGGTTGCAACTGAAAATTGAGAGTTTTTTATCTCCTTTTGGGTGGACAACCAGAAGGAAAAAAAAAAAAAAAAAGGATGAGTTCTTACTCACTCTCAATCATTTTCATTTTAATAGGATAAAAGTGAACTTTACAGATCAGTTTTTCCCCCTTAGAGTTTGGAAGCTCTAAAGGAATGGTTTACAGACTGTCTTTCTGAAAGCATTTTTTTTGCAGCTGGACAACTTTATATTTAACAGTAACATATCAGTTAGAAGTGGAAGTCAAACATTCTCCCTGCTTCAAGAAGATGAAGAAGTAGCACACAGGAAGACAGAATGCCCTAAAAACAGACCAAGCTTGTTCATTACAAATGCTGCCTAGATGGGGTCTGAGAGCAGCGCTGGCAAGGGCAGAAGTAGAGGTGGAAGGTGAAGTTCAGAGAGTCAAAAGAGCTGGATAATGGCCATGTGAGAGACTGCCCACCTCTGAAACACTGCTACAAACACTGTCAGAAAAGAGTGCAGCATTGTTGGAATCCACAAACCTCCTTAGGACTGAGAAGGCACAGTAGATGAAGTGACTAATGACAGCATAGATACTGGAGCAGGAAACCAAGAACTTGCAATGATGTTCATCAGGAAAAGGACTGAAAAGTCCTACTTAACGTAAATAATCAGAACATTGTGATTCATTACTCTTACAGGACAATAGACATGGGGTAGATTTAAACCGCAAGTCTTTTATTAGCTCATCTAATTAAGCCCTACAGTAATCCTAGAGAAATTTGAGCCTTTCAGTTATGGTATTTCATTCTCCCTAAAAATCTGACCCATGAGGAAAGTACACATCACTGCTAAGATTACTGCAAACTGATGTACAAGTCATTGCTGACTCTGCCCTGTTCTCATGGATTGGATTGACTTGGCTTGACTTACTAGTTTGCCTTTCACTGAAGTGCAGATCTTAGCCAGCTCACTACAGTGGCTTCCAGTGTCTAGTGCAATGGCCACACAAATACAGAATACAATTTACCCATCAAAGTCAAAATGGGTAGGAGCCAGTATCACATTTGCTTTCCTGCAAACCACTGCATACAAACAACTTCAGACTAGCAACTCAGAAAAACCACACTGATCCCATCACTTGGCTGAGAGCCAAGTACACCATAGAGTGTAAATCCTGGTATTGACACGGTTTCTGACTTCCATTTGTGATTATAAGACTCCAAGACTATTAAGATGCTTTATCCAGCAATCCAAGGGAGAATCCATGTAAGTCCAACTGCCTAGAATATCAAAGCTGTGGATGCTACTATACTTGTAAAGAAGTATAAAGTATTTCAATCTGCTCAACTGAGCTGTTTAGAGGTTTATACTTTATTCATTGCTAAAGGAAAATAGCAACCACGAGCAATGAGCAACTAATCAAATAGTGACTATCACAAGGACAAATGAGACTTAGCTACTGTCTGCATGAAAATAACGATAGGTGATAGCTTTTGTTATTAACATTCTCTTTGCTCAACCACAGTCCATTTTCCAATTCAATCACATTTTTAAATAGCTTTGATTTTCGTGGAAATTCCTTTTACTTTGACACAACTCCAGCCTTCAGTGCATGCCTGGAGCTGCCCTCCAATGACTGCATTTTACTGTGGTCAACTCAAAAGGCACTAAAAGCATGATGATAAACACAGCTTTAAATGAGCTTCCACTTCAGATAAAAGCTTCATGTCACTCAGAGAAATTCTTGACTGCTGCAAGAGACCCAGAGCCTTCCCCATTCTGTCTTCCTCGGGGCAGTTCTACCATAAGATTCTTCTTTGCATGTATTGGCAACTCCTGCCAAGCTGCAATAAAGTCTCAGCCCAGAGAGGCGATAGTCAATCCATAAAACGATGAAATGGAGGAGATGGGTAAGTAAACTGTATGTTTCCTGCATCTAACACCTCAAAAAAAAACCCTTAGTGCTCATGGGAAATTTCCTGTCAATTCTATGTATCAGCAATTGCAAAAGCCAAGCCATCCTCTGAGGGAGCCTCAGCTGGGAAACACTGCTAGCCCCAAGGTGCCATTATGCATGTACATCACCCAGGTGCCATCACATACATCAAAAAAGACATCCTGCCCAGAAAACATGGTTAAGTAGAACAGCGCAATTCAAGTGAAATACAGTAACATCCCTCAAATAGACTATCCTACCACTCGGCATTTTCTTCAGCAGAGTGAAGCATAAATGAGGGTCTGATGATGCACCATACTATCTTCACCCTGAATGAAGGATTCAAACCTACACATACCAAATGTTACTTTGATCACTCAAAGGAAGCCATGATGATAAGGAATATTATAAATCATATCATGCATCCTTCTTCAGGGTTTGCTTTTCTTATAAAGACATCACAACTCTGGAGAGACCACTGGAATTATTGATGACAGCTAAACAATAGCAAACATTATTAGCTACCACTACTTCAATTTTTCTTCAACTACTTCTTGCAAGCTTTCAAAGGTTGTACATTTTTACCCTACTCACATCACTCTCTCATAGAGTTCTACAAAAAATGTCTTTCTGAATACAAATTCCACCTGTCCCTTTGGATAATACAACAGTAAGATCTGCAATCTTTTTAATTTAATTGAAAAGATATTTTTTTAACTAGACTTACTTTCCTCTGTTACGTCAGACTGCTGATGCCTTGTGCCCCTGCTTTCCACCTGACTGGGCTTTTCCTCTCCCCTTATAGATCTGTGTGCAATTTACTGGCCTCAAAATCCTTCACAAATATATGTGAATATATGAAATCTGCAAGAGGGCTGAATACATTTCACACTGTTAAATGTGAACTAGACAGTAACAGAACCTTCCCCAAGAAGTATGTGATGTTTGTATCATACACTGGTCTTTACTGCAAGCTCGATAGGATGACATTAATCATGTTTTCCAGCTGCAGGTCCTGGTTCCCTTGCTCCAGGACAAGTCTGGCTCTCCTCCTACCCAAGTCATAAATTCCCCACCACACTGCATAGAAGTTTGTGTATATCTGCAAAAGGCTGTGTGATCTGAGGATCCAACACTCTAAGCCATATATGATTCACCAGGCTTGCTCTCTTTCACCTTCCCCTGCTTTCCCAATATACTGCACTTGATTTTTATGGAACAAGAGGGTGAACTGAAAGTATTTTTCCTTAATAGATTCCAAATGTTTTCCATAACACTATGTGGCAAGAAAACACTAAGGAACTAACTGACCGTTATGTGTTTCTTGGAATTTGGGGTTTTTTCCAAAAGCAGTAATCTTCTTCATACTTTCTGCCATAAGGGCTCACTATCTCTTTAATAATGGAGAAGAGGAAGAAGGCAAAATCTAAACTTCATTCTTTTATGACTTCTCTGCTGTACTGAATACATTATCTCTGTTAAACATTAGAAGTTTATCATCTCTCCTCCAAAATTTTTTTTCTGTCACCACCTCGTTCCCAAGACGAGAGATAACATCTACTGCTTGCTTCAGTCTCCAGCATGTCCCCTCCCTGAAATGTCTATCCCAACAAGACTCCTGAGCTTTTAGAATGTAAATGGACACATTGGTACAGCAGATGTATTTTGTACTTGCTTGAGCTGCTCCTTTGATCTTGAGACAGATGGGAGTTTGGTGTTCAATGGTCACAGCTAGCCTGTCTATTCTAGCAAGGTGTTAACAAATCCACTGTGCCATCAAGGCTGTGAAATACCCAAAAGTTTCTAGTAGAAGACCTCACAAGATAACCACCAACTGTCCCATACCTCTCTTGGTTTTGTGCAGACGAAAGAGCACTTCGGAATCTCTACTTACATTTTCCCTCAGTGTTGATGGAAAGTTCACTGAGCATCTAAATAACTCATTTGGTGGAAGAACAGCCCCACTGCAATTAATCATGATCTGTATCTCTTGCTGTGTTTTTAGCCCTCTTATCTGCAAGTTTCAGGACGCCTCTTTCGAACACCCATTTTGCTGCTAGCTCCTTCTCATGATCCCTAGGAGGTTCCCCTACATCTGAGCATAATCGATTCCAGCTGCTTTCAGTGATTCCTCATTTGTTTTCCCTATTCTACCTTTCTCCCTACTGTTTTACCTATTCTACCATTTTAGCAGTGTTCCTGATATTCCTTTCCTAGCTTTTGCTCTCTACAGACTCTCTCATATGTTCACGTGAGCAAAAAAATGAAGCCCTAGTCAGCCAATCCACCTCCACAGCTTGATGGCAGAAGAAAATGCTCCCAAGACTCTCAATTATCTCCAGAAGGGCATGGTAGGTCTTCACTGTTGATTAAACTAAGAAATTATTAGCTTCTAGTAGAGGATCTTAGATCATTACCAATTGCTGCAGTGTGTCTGCTCTCTTTTGGCTAGACTAGCCCCTGCTATTTAGGCTAACATGCGAGTACAGCAACATCCCATTTCTACAGCACATAACAAAGTTTTGTCAATGAAGAGTGTTAAAAAAAAGGACAATCTAAATAACTAAAGCTGACAAACACCAATGTAGTCAATGTTATACCAAGAGCAAAATCATTTTACCAGCACTATTTCTCCAGGGGGACAGTCTTAAGCTTCACCAGAAGTGAACTCCAGCCATTAAAACTTCACATGCTTTAGCTATACAGTCAGCCTCTTCCATAAGCAGATGAGTCTTACGTATTCTGTGCCTTCCCTGAGGAAGAACTTTTTAAGTTCACACATGCACAATTCTACAAGCCATTTTCTTTTTTCTGGAAGGGTAGTTTTAGTTGTTAGTAGTTTCCTTGAAAGTTGTGGAAAGGAAACTTCTCTTTTCCATCAACTACATCTAAGCTTTAAAATAACAAATTTAGACAAGTTTGCTTACACATTTCAAAATTCTAGTGTAGAATGAAAGCTATACTCTTTTATATATCAACAAGGCAAGTTGAACCCCATGGCAGGTGTGTAAGCAAAAAAAAGCATTAGCTAACATTTTAGAAACACCCTTTATTCTAGTCTTGACAGAGCTTAGAAGGTGTGACAGCATGCTGGGTTTCCGAGAAGTCAATCACCATCATAATTTCCCACTTTGAATCTGCTGGGTATTATTTTATTTTATGATTCTGTATTTGATTTGTAAGTGTGTTCTAACAAAAACATCACAGAATTCTGTATAAAAACCCAACAACTGTAAATTTAAGGGACAAGAGCAGAGATAATTTCAGCAGCTCTGAGCATATTGTTCTCTATCTGAAAAATTGTGATTGTTGATGCATGAATGGCCACAATTTTAGTTTATTTGAGAAACACAGTGATGGGTGTCATGTATTAAAGACAGAATCTGACCTTAAATGACTTCTACCACCATCAGTTACGTGCTAAGATTTTTTTTTTTTCCTTTTAAAATATAAGAGAACACCAATAATGTTCTGTCTTTAAAATGAGAAGCAAGCCAAGGATAAAGGGAAATTCTTCTTCATTCTGGAAAAATTAGTGACATCAAACCTCATTCTCCAAGGAGAACGATTATCTCAGACACAATGGCAGAAAAGAATATTAAAAGTTTTCCCCAGAGTCACACATATTTGTCAGTCTTTATTCCTCTTCAACTTAATTGCCACAAATGGTGGTTATAAACCCTCTTTCATTACCAAGAACATAGTCCAAGGAGGAACAGATGGCAACACAACAGACTGACTTCTCTTTTTTTAATTTTCAGAATGCTATCTATCCTATATGTCTGAATTTTTAGACTGATAGTCCTGCAGGCTACAGACTCTTGGTTATTATAGATTTCAGATACTGTGAGCTGTGAGCCTTCCATCTTCATTTGCTCAGCTGTTTTGCTTCAACTCTGACCTAATCCATGCATCCATTCAAACCTTTGCACTGCTGATCAAACTTCCCAGATAGAAACCACCATACGGATTACAATGATTTCTTTTCACAACAATCCAGACTCAAGTTCACTACATTATTCCACAGAGGATCAGCATGGACCTTGCCCAAGCCTAGCAAAAACATTGCATTCAATTAGAAATCAACATGCCATAGTGTTGCTGCTTCTCTTTCAAAACAAAATGATGTGTTACAATTTTAAGACTGTCACTGTTCCTTGGGAATCCCAATTGGTATCTTACTAACACCAGATTAACAGTGTTAATCCCCCCTCTTTTTTTTTTTCCTGAGTGGAAAAAGACATTTCAGCATGTGCCTAGCAATCACAGGATTAGACACGTTACCAATATTATCTCTAATTGATTCTACCATCTATTATCAGCATTAATCACTTTTTTTTGACGTAACATCTAAGCAGCAGTCAAGAGCGAGGCTGCATCATGCCATATACTGTGCAAACACAACATGGCAGATAACACCCTGCCCTACAGAGCCCAGCAGACAAAATACAGCAGAGGAGAAAGAAAATACTAGCCAGGAAAATCTCACTTTATCAGTGTTAATGAAGTTTTGTATGTGCAACTGCTTTTCTTTACAGACTTGCATATTTGACTCCCACCAGCTCAATGACTTGTATTTTCCTTTGGCAATAAAATGTTATGGTAAATGCACCAAAAAATCCATTTCCTCGTGTCTAAATTGCTCCACT